CATACCTGGAGGTCCATGGTCACAACTCACACACAGGTAAGGTCATCGTGATGATGTTCTCACTCCCTTAGTAAGTACTCCAGCATCCAATCTCCTCTCAGTTGTCTTACTAGATAACATGCAGTGTACTGGGTACATACACCATAGGTTCATTAATGTTTCATATTTGGATATTTCTATTCAAAATTTTCACGTATTTTTGTTTACATGTAACTCGTCGGTACACCAGTATTACCGCTTGTCACTTGGCTTATTCGGTAAGGGATTGGGAGTCCGGTTAATTGAGTCATTTGCGGTTCTATTGACTAGTTAACTGTTCTGACAGAATTCTGAGTAGTTGATGATGCTTTTGTCATCAGACAATCGTTTCAGACAGGACACGAGAACAGTGTACCACTTAGTAGGCCAGCCAGAGACTTAGGGCCCGCTGAGTGGTGTGTGTAATCACCTAAGTGTAGTTACAGGATGAGAGCTACGCTCGTGGTGTCCCGTCTTCCCAGCACTCTTTGTCATATAACGCTTTGAACACATGCTTTGTATGTGTGTGTGTGTGTGTGTGTGTGTGTGTGTGTGTGTGTGTGTGTGTGTGTGTGCGTGTGCGCGTGTGCGTGTGCGTGTGTGTGTGTGTGTACGTGTGCGTGTGCGCACGCTTCTCTTTGGACAGTGAATTTGCAGTATGGTGATGAGGTTGTCTTACCTGTCTGTGACGTCATGACCAGGTGATGTATTGACCAATAAGAGGGCTCCGTGGCCGCGTGTGACGAAGGTAAACTGGTGGTGTCCTCTGTGACTGCCGGGAAGGTTTGTGTCTTAAGCCTCTCCTGTCACCTGATTCTCTCCTTATATGGGCCACCTCACAGGAGGAGGGAGAATTACCCGATTAAAAGATGCCTACCAGGAGGAAAACAGAGCCCCATTTCAACGCCAACAACCCAACCACTTGCTACGGTAGAGCTACGGTCTCGCTTCATGGAGGTCGACGTTCAATCCCCGACTGTCCACAAGTGGTTGGGCACCATTCCTTTCCCTCCCGTCCCATCCCAGATTCTTATCCTAACCCCTTCCCAGTGCTATATAGTCGTAATGGCTTGGTGCTTTTCCCTTTCGCCTCTAAGTGTGGAAGGGATAGTTCCCTTCAGCGTCATCAAAGTTTTGTCTGATGAATACTGGATATCGCCCGAGATAGCAAGACGATTTTTCTTCATTAATGGAATTGACGGCTGTTTGTCTTAAGTGATTGAAGAGATTTCTGGTGGGGGAAATCCTGTTATGTTAAGAGATAGGCAGAATACGACCCGATTTGTTGTGTTTCGCATTCATGTTGGGTTTCTCATTCATGTTTCTCATTCATGTTGTGTTTCTCATTCATGTTTCTCATTCATGTTTCTCATTCATGTTCCTCATTCATGGTATGTTTCTCATTCACTATATCCTTGTTCAGGTGGGTGCTGAGGTCCTGAGTGGAATGGTTGTACAATCTACCTCTGTCCCGCCTCCGTCAATCCGTTCCTCATTCACATTCTCAATTCCAGCTTTTCACCACCTACACTATTACTTCCATCACCGTTCCCCTGTCCCTCTATCCCCACCACCACCATCACCCGTCTATCCCCACCACCTCCTACTCCATCCCTCACCCCTAATCCCTCCTATCCTATAGTCATGGAGCTTACCTTAAGGGTAAGTCAGGATAAGGGTGAACCAGGCTGCTGCTCCCATTACGAATACTAAGTGAATGCTACGCCTGCCACCATTAGACTATTGGCTATGTATTACGTACATGGGTTCGTCCTTGATGTGTGTACGTACATGGGTAGGACGTTGATGTGTGTACGTACATGGGTAGGACCTTGTGTGTGTGTGTGTGTGTGAAAACATGGAATTATTCTCTCTGTGTACGAACGTGTTTGTTGATTTCAACAGTTGAAAGGCGGGACCAAAGAGCCAGAGCTCAACCCTCGCAAGTAGAACTAGATAAGTACACACCGAATTGTACAGTGTTTTCAAAATGCATTTTAGGAGTCAATATTTTTATTTTATTTTATGGGCATGAAACCAAGCTTTCTGAAGTGCTCTGTAAGCCTCGGCAAGACATTGTTCTGTGTACTTAAGATGGTCACTAATGACCACTCCAAGATTATTGTATTTTCTCTTGGCAAGTGATTTTTGGAATATTTTATTTTCACCTTTACTCCAAAAGGTAATTGTAATATATTTATCTTGTAATTGGTTCAACAAAACACACAATTCTGATACAGATTTAAATAGAAAAATTATATGCAAACGATGAGTTACAACTTTACTCAAGAGATGATGCTGCTCATCTCTCTACATGAAGAAACGTCCACGTTTCGGTCCGTCCTGGACAAGTTATGCAGTCGTTACACTAATAATGGCCAGGACGGACCGAAACGTCGTCTTGTCATTTTCAGATGAGCAGTTTGAGTATGAGGGGAAATAATAGGTTGGGTAATTATGATGAGTAAACGACACATGAGTTTTTTTAGTAAAGAGGAAGGAGAGGCATAGGTGAAGGGAAGTTTTAGAAGTGGGAAATACAGTGAGAGGTATGAAAGCAGGCGGGCTGTCCGCCTTGCTGACACGATGTGTGGGTGTTGGCAGGTAAGCTAAGCTTGCTCTCTCTCTCTTGTCTGGGAGCTGTGAGTATGTGAGAAGTTCTTCTCCATAACTCCTTAGTGCATTATTCCCCTCTCTCTCTAGCTCCCAATTACATTATTCCCCTCTCTCTCTAGCTCCCAATTACATTCTTCCCCTCTCAAAAATCCCTTAAATCTACTTTTTTGGATTTTTTTCCTTCTCATTGTGTCCATAACAACCGGTTAACTCTGCGTCATTCTGGTTCTCACTTCTCACGTGGTTTACTGAACCAGTTGTGTACACCAGGCGCCCGGTGCCCGCCGACCCAGGGTTCGAGTCCCCACGATAGACTCTGGACGTTTCGTATCTACCCTTAGTCCTCCTGGGTCCTCCATCGAAGTCTCCCCTCGGTCATCGTAGTTCTACCATTCACTGGACCATTAAACAATTACTTGTCGGTTAAATGATAATGACAAATGATTGTTCCAAATACGGACTCTGTCTTTGCTCGGGAAGAACGCGAGATCCAACTTGCAGTTGGAGAATGGAAGGATGAGTTCAATGGCTTGTTTCTAGGTTGGAAGTTATTAAACTAATTGACAAATATATGTCCTGTGGGTTTCCAGAGCAGGGCAAGGTATTAGCCAAGGTCCTTAATGAATGTAACGATGGTCTGAGCGAGCTTCAGTCCTGTATAACTCGTCCAAGGTTACGAATATGGTACCAATTTTTGAGAAGGAAGATAAGTCACTTGCGTTTGAATTTTATCTAATTTTCTTAATACTGAGGTAAAGTTTCTTGAAATTTAAATCGCAAAATCCATTCATGCCATGAAAAGCCGTGATTAATTACTTAAGGACTCACCGGATTAAGACATTATTAAAGACCTCACTTGTTTAACAAATATACCATCTTTTTCCAGACATTTTGAAGCCGTTGACAGCGGAAAAGATTTGTATACGATCTACAAGACATTTATAAAGACTGGTCATATGCCTCGCGATAGGCTGGTAAGGAAGGTTGGAGGAGTGTGGTATCTGGGGTGGTACCTGAAGTTGGTTTCTTATTTCGTAGGACGCAGAGTTAGCGTAGGTGTGGAGGGAGGGGGAGAGGACTGGGGGTGGAGTGAGGGAGAGGATTGGGGGGAGGAGTGAGGGAGACGGCTGGGGGTGAAGTGAGGGAGACGGCTGAGGGGAGGAGTGCCCAAGGGGTTTCTCCCGAGTCCTTGATTGTTTACCTACTTATATAAACCATTTAGACCAGACGATTTAGAAAAGCAACATTAGACAATCGACTTGAGAATGGTCCAGGACGGACCGAAACGTCGTCGTCCCTTCAACTTCTAGTGTGTGGTCTGGTCAACATTAGAAAATTTGCCGGTGACGTAAAACATATGATTGGAAATAAATTTAAATGATAAAAAATTACAAGATAAATGAAGACTTTAAAATGAACGAGAGGTTGGCTGACGCAGATTAATACACAGTTGCAACCTTCTAAGACAAATGAATTATAAGTGGCCAGATATCACAAAAATATAATATTAAAGGGAAATACAGACAGCCTTTTGGTCCAAACGAGGCAGCTCCTATTTATATCCAACCAAACTCACTTATATATATGTTAAACCTACGCTTCAAACAAGCCAGCGATCCCACGGCTGTTATATTACCAGGTAATTTGCTCCATAAATCAAAATCTTGTCTCCAAACCGGTATTTACCCAGGTCTCTCCCGGAACGAAGGTGAATACTGAACACGAGCGAGACGTGTGTGTGTCAGGATTAGTAGTAGGGCTCTTCAGCCCTATAATGGAACGAATATGTGTTCACATAAAGCAAACATGATTCAGGAATTAATATATAAAATTGTAAGTAATGTGAAAACTAATGTTATTCTCCAATTGTATGGTACCCTTGTTGGCCTCCATTACATTATGTAGTTCAGGTTTGGCCACTCTACTATATAGAAGGTACGTCAATTCTTGAGAAATTGTAGAGTGAGGGATGACACAGTTATTTCCGTAAATTAGAAACCTCTGTTATGAAGACAGATAAATAAACCCAAATTAACATTCATTAAGAAAAACGCAGGGGAGATGTGTTTGTATGTGTACGTACGTTCCTGTTGTTGTTGTTTAAGATTCGCTACTTGGAACAAAAAGTTAAAGTAGCACGGGCTATGGTGAGCCCGTAGGGACTGTTTTGTGCGCGCGCGCAAGCGTGTTCCAGCCAGTCTGTCCGTGTGTTCGTTCGTGTTCGTGTCTTACACTCACCAAATAAAGATCCTTTATCGCCGTATAATAAATACCATTGTCCATGTTTTATCACTCCACATTGCAGAACTTCAACTTTTATTGCAGGTTTAAAACATTAGCCAAGTGGTGGGGGGGAGGGGTTGTTGGGGGTGAGGGGGGGTTGGGGGTTGCAGCGCACGCAA